ATAGACTGAAAAGTAATAATAAAAGACACCTTGTACCTTCCCCCCCCCCATGTATATAGTACTTACCCGCCCTCCCCCCATTCCTTACCCCCAGAATCCCTGGTGACCCTAGTTGCCAACCCCACACCAAAGGTTTAAAGAAATACAGAACGATAAGACAATACCAGCGGTACTAGTACGTAAAGGACAATGGGAATTGATGTCTATTTCATTATTGCTGTATAAAATGAATGTACCACCACCATCATAACCTTCCCCCCTTCTCTGCCTTCTGTACCCCCGTTACCCGTTGTGAAATAACAATAAAACTCAAAAAAAAAAAAAAAATTACTCTTGGAAGACACAGCACACTTTTTACAATGGTCTTATCGAACCTTTTACGAAAAGTCCAATAAAATGGACACTACTGTCCCGTTCATTGAAACTAGGGATGCACCGAAATGAAAAATCTGGGCCGAAATCGAAACCAAAAATTCAGGATGCCCTTGGGCGAAAACCGAAACCAAAACCGAAAATGACTTTTTTCTCCAAATGTTTTTTTTCTATAATTTTATTAATATTAGACTTTCTAATGAATTAAACAAGCAATATAAACTCTGATTATAAAAGTAGATGTTTTAGATGGAAAATACGTGAAAACCAACCATTAAGCTCACATAGGTTGGTATGCAGTCAGAATACTAAGTATTGAGCGTGTTACTGAATGTATCCCTATACACAAAGGGTGGCTCTGCACACATGCAAGCAGTGCACTGTCCACAAGGTAAATAAAAATAAAAAATTATATTCTGTACATTATTAACCATTAATATGTTCATTGCTGTACACAGCCATATAATGAATGAAAAGGGAAACAAATGTGTATATTACATACACACAAATATACAAAATATTTTGATCACAGTACACTGATCAGTTTTTCAGTTAGGATTGCATGGGAACACAAAACATAATGTTTACTCTTGTAATGCAATCACTCGATGTTCATAGAACTCTAAATGAACAGTACTGCACAGATTGGGATGGATATACAGGAAGCACTGCTGTACACGGCTCTGGGTATTCTGTAAGCACAGCACTGTGTATACTCCGCCCCTACTCCCCCAGGGTGCCCTTGCTAGTTACCTTGGCTCTTTTTCTCCTGCTAGTTCTCCGGCCCTCAGGGGTCTCCGGTTGTCCCCCATCCACCCCATGCCATGATGCCTGGCCATAATGTTTGACCTTGTGGATGGCCAGTGCTCGGTGTATTCCTAGTTGAAACCTTGACAACGCCGCACTCATATCACTACGATCCGGGAAAGTAACGGTTCCCCAACAAGTACCCCCAAGGACATATCGCAAATCTTTACTGACTTTTTAAAAAACTCTGTATAACCATACCAAGGGCCAGGGAGACCCGATAACAAATAACACAGATATCCCAGATATTTGCTCTTTTCTGGATAAACTAAACCTCCCAAAACTGCTCACAGAGGCTAAACACACTCTTGGCTCACCTTTTACGACAGACGAGGTAGAGGCAGCGATTAAATCCTTGAAGGGGGGTGGGCGTAAGGTCCCAGGACTGGACAGATTCGAGGGTGAGTACTACAAAACCTTCCGACAAGAATAAACCCCACAACTGACTACACTCTATAATGACTTAATGAAGGGAGGTACTCCTAATAGCGATATGGCCATAGCAAACATAAGACTGCTACCAAAATCTGATAAAGATGCTGTCACCTGAACAACTACAGCTTAATGTAGTTGTTCAGGTGAGATCTATAGCTCCCTGCAGGTAATCTAATCTAAACACTGTATTTTCAGAGAAAATAGTGTTTACATTGATTGATTGATAGGAATACCTCCAGTGGCCGTCACTAAGACGGCCACCAGAGGGACTTTCTATCATATATGGCCCTAAAAAGGTCATGTACACGTCAGACGTATTAAAATATGTTTTGACGTGTGCAGGAGAGAGAAGGCACTGTGTTCGCGCCTTCTCTCTCCTGCCTGTCACCAGAGGAGAGGAGGCAGGCAAAGACAGCGAGCTGAGCTGTCAATCAGCTCAGGGTCACGCACACCGCGCGCATTCATAGGGCTGCATGAATGCCGCCCTATGAAGTATGTGCGCATGTGCGGCGAAGCCGCGCATGCACACAAGGGAGCAATGACGCTTCCAAATGGAAGCAGCTTCACAAGGCCCCCAGCGCTGGAACGAGGTGAGTAAAAATGGCTGCCTGGAGTGTCCCTTTAATATTGTTGTGAGCAATTTCCGCCTAAAGGAGCAGATCTGCCCAACTGTCGGGATGGACATTTATGAAACATCTTAAGTATTGTTCTAAGGCCTTTTTTAACCATTCAGCTGTTCCATTTATCTGGGAATGACAGGAAGAATAAAAATTAATTGGATCCCAAGTTCAGAACAAAATTCTCTCCAGAATTAAAAAATAAACCAAGTTGAGGCTATTTCAAGAGGAATACCATTAAGATGAAACACCTCCTCAACCCATCACGGAATCATGGACGCTACGCCGGGACTCTCACTAGTTTAGAAGGACACAACCCTGCTGGAGACTGAGGAGTGTTGGGCCTGGCTTCTTTCTACCTTCTTCACCGTCTTCGTATTTCAAATGTATCACATATTCTCTCAGAGGCGTCCACATACACTTTCCCTCTCCCAAGTGAGAGTGAAAGACCGACCACCACTACACCCAAGCTCGCACCTTGGACTGCCTACGAGCAAAGTGTATACCAATCTAATTTAGTTAGGCTAGGGCTCAGCCATCAGACCTAGAAGTCTCAAATAGCAACAACAAAAAATAAGGTCCTGACTGATACTTGATGTACCTTTCAACAACTGGTTCATAGGCTTTGTGACACTGTAACCACAACTCTACACTGTCTCATTGATGCAACATTCTACTAGCACACATGCCTGCCCTAAGCTATGCAAGTCCATATTTCCCATATTTATATATGCCTAACCTTACCATGCTACCGCCGCTGTTTTATCTCTGTCTTGTCTGTTTGACCTCATGTTATTATGCTGGGTAATGCAGTTTTATCAAAAGTGTAGTATACTCCATGCAGATGCCTTTCTTCGAGGATGGTGTAATATTTTTATGTAATACTTTTTGCTTTTTTTCCTTTTTGATACTTATGCATTCTCAGATATATTGCATTCTTTTCATTGTATGTACCTTTCAACCTGATAAACTTTGAATAAAAAAAAACAAAAAAACCCACCTCCTTAGCAAACATGGTGGCTAATTCCCAGGAGTTAGGTGTTATGGACCTGACTGCTATGCATATGAGGCCAGTAGTTACATACAGCCTTGCTTTATTACTAAACATTTACTGTTCAGTAAATGTTCGGCTTATTATAACTGACAGGAACACAGAAGTAAAACATCCTATGTAGCAATACTGCATCACACTCACTGACTTCAGATAGGTGCAATGCTCTCTGACCTGCGAGCCATCACAGGGGTGGAGCCACTAGTTAAAGTGAGAGGGAAGTGTCCTATATTCCTAGTATAACAGTAGGAAGCTTTTTAAAGGAATAAAAAGGGACATCTTAGAAAACATATCCACTATCATTATTGGGATTTTATAATGTAAGAAATACGAATTTGTATTCCATAAATAATAGTTGTCTCCCCCCCCCCGGCTTAGAAAAGGTTAAAAACCCTTTCTGTACCCATACGATTATAGAGGATGTATACACTACAACCACGGCCCGTCCTTTTTCAAGCCTTAAGTGCAAGAGTTTTTCAGCCTATTTGGGCATTGTAAACTAAGGTGTCATTTCTTCCTGCAATAATGAGTTCCTCTTCTCCTGTACATCTGTCCTACCTCAATGAGCTTAGTGAGACCAAGCTGCATTGCTTCTGTGGGAGAAGGAGGAGGTGCCTCAATAGCAAGAAAAAACAATGCCCTTCAGGGTGAAAACCTACTGGTTCATTCCTTATGGTTTGTCTATATGTGAGTCTCTCATCTACAGGAGATAAGTATGTGAGTAAATCATCTTGCAAACCTTTAGAGCTATTCCATCAAGCGACACCACTGATAAACCATTCATAAATACATCAACGCCTGCTTATTTCATTTTGCTTCTGACGCCAAAAGTATGAATCTCTAAAGTGTAATCGCCAAGGGAACAGTTTCTTCCTTGTTTTAATCTTGAGAGCTTTAGCAGTAGTAGCCCTACATCAAGGGGGATCAAGGAAGGGGACAGGAAGATGAGCTTTCCCACCGCATTCATTATAGACTGCAATGGGGCAGGTTGGGATCATGTAAGATCACTGAAAAGGGGATTGCAGTAGTCAAGGCAAAGAAGGACAGTGGCATGAACCAGCATCTTAGCCGCATCTGACGTTAAGTAGGGGCGGATGGGCGCAATGTTTTTGAGATGGCAGCGGCAGGATTTGGTGACCAGCTGGACATAAGGGGTGAAGGAGAGGTCTGAGTCAAAGAACATGTAGGCAGCGAGTCTGCATGGTGGAGCTGATGGTAGCACCATTAAAGTGGAGGGAGACAGAAACGGGAGTAGCAACACTTGAGGGAGGAAAGTCCAGAAGTTTTGTTTTGGACAAGTTGAGCTTAAGGAAGTGGAGAGCCATCCAGTTAGAAATAGCAGAGAAACAGTCAGAGACACTAGTCAAGAGGGGAGGGGAGAGATCAGGGGAGGACAGATAGATTCGCGCATCATCTGCATGGAAGTGATATTGGAAGCCAAAGGAGCTGATGAGCTTACCAAGGGAGGCAGTGTAGATCGAGAACAGTAGGGGACCAAGGACTGAACCTTGGGGGACACCAACAGAGAGAGGTTGGGAGGAAGAGGCAGAGCTAGAGAGCGAAACACTAAAAGAGCACTGAGTGAGGTAGGAGGAGTACCAGGGGAGAGCAATATCTCAAAGACAGATTACGGAGGATGAGAAGAAGCTGTTGATGATCAACAGTATCAAAAGCAGCGGAAAGGTCGAGGAGAATTAGGATAGATAAGTGACCATGAGAGTAGATCGTTTAATACTTTGGTCAGAGCAGTTTCCACAGAGTGCTGAGCACGGAAACCAGACTGAAGTGGGTCGAGCAGAGAATCGGACTCGAGGAAATCTGTCAATCTCACATACACAAGTCTTACAAGGATTTTGGACGCAAAAGGCAGCAGCGAGATAGGGCGGTTGTTGAAAGGGGAGTTAAGGTCAAGGTTGGGCTTTTTTTTATTTATTTTTTATTGAATCGTGCTTACAGTTGCATGTTTGAAGGGTAATGGAAATATGCCAGAGGAGAGAGAGAGATTGAGAATTTTAATGAGACAAGGCAAAAGGAGACAGAGTAAGGGAATAGGATCAAGGGAGCAGGTGGTGCGGCAGGAGGACCGGAGCAGATCAGAGACCTCTTCCTCTGTAGCGGGTGCGAATGAGCATAGAACAGCAGAGGGAATGAGTTTGGGGGAAGTATTGTAAGGGGAAGGAGAGAGATGAGAGTTCTCTTCCCTGATCATAGAGAACTTGTCAGTTAAGTGAGTTGCAAAGTTTGTGGCAGTTAAGTCAGTAGGAGGAGCACCAGGGCAAAGAAGAGAGTTTAAAGTGTGGAATATTCGTTTGGGTTTGTGTGGTTATGAGGGTATTGAAGTTATTTACTTTTGCAGAGGAAAGAGCCAAGCTGTAAAAGCGCAGCATACATTTATCGTGGAGAAAGTCAGATGCGGATAGAGACTTTCTCCAGCAGCGTTGAGCAGCATATTTGGAGGTATCGAGTCAGCTTTGTGTGCAAAGGTTGTAGTTGGGGACGCTTGCTGTGTTTAAGTGTAGGAGGTGCCATGATGTCTTGTTGAGAGGAAAGGGTGGACTTGTAGAATGAGACTGCAGAGCTAGGGCAGGGGAGGTTTGTTATAGGTAAAAGGAGAGTTTGGAGGTTAATGGAGAAGTTCTCTAGGTCAAGACATTGGAGTTTTCTGTGATAATTGACGTGCAGAGGGTGAAGGTCCCCTTAGCCATATCTGTAGGATAAGCACAAGGACATCTCAAAATAAATGTGCACTTGATTGTAGTTCGTCCGCTAACATTATGGCACCTGTTCATTATGGAGGAGACCCAGCAGAATCAATCATCCTGCTGGGTCTCCTCCATAATGAACAGGTGCCATAATGTTAGCGGACGAACCACAGACAGGACTCATTTCCATCCCAGTAGAGGAACTTGTTAACTACAGTGGTTTGGGACTGTTTCTAGATACTCCAGTACGCAGAGTACAACCTTAGTAATAAAGCGTGTTACCTTGGAGCGGCCGGACTTCACGTAAAACAGAATGAACTGTCAGGACTAGCCAGAGTCATGGAAAACCACAAATCAGTTAGACCAGGTGTTCCCAACGCAGTCCTCAAGCACCCCCTACCATTCCACGATTTAGGGATTACCCTGTTGTGTGTAAAGTGTTTTTTTTCTTTTCTTCTTCTAAAAACACCTGGGTAATCCCGAAATCCTGGACTGGTAGGGGGTATTTGAGGCCTGGGTTGGCAACCACTGAGATATGTGATAAGATAGAATCAAAAAGATAGAAAAAAGAAAAAACCTGCAGAAATGTTTTTATTAGATGACTCAAGACGAGGTGCTGCAGCAACTAAAGAAAGTTAATGTAAACAAAAGATGCAGTGCTTGACGGTATCAAAAAACAAAGTACTTAAGGAGCTAAATGTGGTAATAAGTTCTGGGGCCACTTTTATTTAACCGGTTTATGAATGATCTTGAAATGGGCATTGAAGTAATATTATAACATTATACAAATATATTCGGGGCCAATACAAACCACTGTCTGAAAATCCATTCAGAACTGGCCTATATATAGGACAATGTTACCTATTTAGACTGGAGATTTAATCAAAGTTTTTTTGTTTTGTTTTTTTTTACAGGCAGAACAATAAGGATGTGGTATTCTCTGCTTGAAGAGGTTATTTTAATAGAATCTGAACAGATGTATAAACAGCAACTGGATGAATACCTGCAAAAACATAATATATGTGATATAATTTTTAAAGTGTGGGGTAACAGCTTCCTGATCAAAGGAGAGATCTGACTGCCTTTCCACGGTCGAGAAGGAATTTTTTCCTAACTTGTTGCAAACTTTGAAAGTGCTTCAAATTGTTATTTTTGCCTTCTTTTGGATCAAAGCAAAAACCAGATGTGAGAGAGGTTGGATTTGGATGCAAGTCTTTTTTCAGCCTATATAACGGACCTTGGATCCAACGCCAGACTATGCTCCCAGTGCTCCTTTCCAAAACTCAGCTGAGGTTATAGCCTCATGCGCAGTTCAATTAAATGTTTCTCAGAGAGAAGCATTTGATTAGATTTTCTCACCGGCTCTGGGCTTTATATAATAAATAAATACACTGCATAAAATGAAGTTATGTGGGAAGAAAAAATAAATAAATTAAAAAAAATTACGCTTCCCATTGCAGTCACACTTCCTGCAAAGAAGAAGACAGTCCGTGCGTCCTGAAGACAGTCATAGCTTTAAAAAACACATTGACATTAGGCAGCCCAGGTTGCCTAATGCCTATAAGTCACTTTTGCCGGTGCTTTAAGTAGCCCCGAGCACACAAGTGCAAATATCTCAATATGTGAAGTGTTCTAAGGTGAAACTCTGCACCTACAGACTCCTGCCACCATGATCACTTCTAAAAGCATAAGTGATCATGGTGGTTGGAGTAACTCTTTAAGCTGTAGCTGTTTAAGTGCTTAGAGTGTCCCTTTAAACACCATATGATTAATATGAATGTCTCCAAACCGCATATATAGATTAAAAAGAAAGACAATAGACTGTTTTATACTAAAAGAATAAAGATTTTTATTAAGCATTGTAAGTTGCAATCAATAGCCTTCAAACAGAACACTCCACAATCCATCAACAGCCAGCCAGACCCAACAGCAGTTCATTCTTACACAATCCATGAGCCGGGGCAAAACTCCCTTCAACTTACATTAATATGCCTACTCATCTTTAGCGGGCAGGACTGGGGGGGTTACAGTTCATTTCTGATCACTAATGTGTAATGAAGAGCATCAGGAGAATTAGATGGAAACAAAGAGAAAGAAATGATTCAGAATTTTAAAAAGTACATTAAAAAGTCTGGAAACACTAAGAGAAACACCAAAATTGATACAGGTGTACGTTACTTTCTGCTTAGACTAAAGATTCCTGAATGAGGGAGGATCAGGAACGAGCGATCCTTCTCCTGCTACAGAACGGGGGAGGAAGGATTTAAAGAACAAAGCACTTTTTTTTTTTTTAATGATTTTTTTTCCCACAGAATTTCATATTTGCGAATATGAAAGAATAAAAAACAGCAACAGAGAACAATAAATGCTTTACGAGCAATGAATACACCAGGGTAACGTTGATATTTAAACGGCTAGATAATTTTTTTTTTTGTTTTAGGATAAATGCAACAGAGGTCAATAATCACAAAATTGTAAGGTTAGAGCGAGATCAGTCAATGACTAAACATATTAAACATTTTCATAGGACTAGTACTGATTATTAGCTGTAATTTTTTGTGTATTTTTCTTTTTAAATGGGCACATTACTTGTAGGAATGGCAGAATTAGGACAATAACATGCATAATTATTAAGCACACGCTTTAAAAATGATGAACCATGCAAGAGTTCACTAACGGGTTACATCTGATTGAAAAAACACACAGTTCATTGAGCACAGATGCATGTTATTAAATCACGGAAACTTTCAGAACACTGGTTTGTTTTGGAGAAAAGAAAACATTGGTTACCTCTTCTATGAATTAGGTTACTTGCTTTAGTAATAGGTCTTGTGCATATCTTATAATTTGCAGTGTTGCAATATAATTTGATTTATTTCATTACGATGTTGCAGGTTTCATTGCAAAATGAGAAAAAAATAAAATAAAAAATATCAATGCCAATGACCGAGGGAAAACAAAAAACCCTAAAACAAACCTGTGTTTGTGCCTTAATTCTGTTTGTAATCTGGAAACCAGAATTCAAGAGCATTTTTGTGACACAATGTAAAAATCAAATATAACGGCATACGTAAGGTGCCAAATACTCTAAATCATATTTTAAGCTATATATACTGAAAAACTGCCAAAACTGTGTTTTGTTTTTTTCTTTATATCTCAAGAAACAGAACTACAAGCGGTTTTGTTTTTTTGTTGTTTTTGTTATAACCAGTTACAGCTTTTGTGCATGTTTCTCTTAAAGTAAGGGAGTCAAATGCTCTTCATAGTTAAACCAACTTTTGCATTTTGTTGCATTTTGACTACAACTGGTTAAAAAATAAGATTTCCTTTTTTTTTTTCCAAGTTTTTTTTTTAGCTTTTTTCTTTATGCTGTTGTCTGATATCAAGAGAGGGATCCGAATTTCCGAAGTCATAATTTTTCACTTACGGAAAGGAAAAAAATGTACATAACTGCAGGCTCTCCTTCTTTCTAGATATTCCTAATCCAGAACCTTCTAACATTCTTCACCCTCTAGAAAAATAAGTTTACTCTTCTTTTTTTAAGACAGCAGCCTCAAGGGTCTCATCCTTGGGGCAAATGCTGTCTGCATTTAGTGCATTTAAGTGAGGATCGCTATTGCACGTCTTAGAGTCATTACTTAAGGCACTTTCAGAGTGATTGGAAGCCCTCACTTGTTCAGAGCTTCCATTTATTTCAGAAGCTGGCGTTTCTTCATTCACCACCCCATTTTCTGCCAGAGATCCATCTGAAGACATAGCCGATGATTTGGAGTCTTCTGATTGTGTCTTAAGCTGTTTAGCCACTTCTGCTGCTGAAGTGGCGTATGGAGGCTTGGCCTATGGTAGTGACAGATCAAGACTCTTTAGAATCAGCAAAAACACAGATATTCAGAAAAGTAAGTAATGGTTTTGACAAACACTTGGACACACCAATTAACAGCAATCCTAAAAGTACTCCCGTGTATTATACATGCAGTCCTGTATTTATTGTCACAACTAAAAATGGCATACTAGTTGAAAGCTTTAAAAATATTTTTATTTCTTCTTCATGGAAATTGTTGAGTAACCAAGTAAATTTTAAATGGTAACCTGTTTATTTAGCAATATCAAAGAAATAATTAACATGTAATATAGCCTTGTCGACCATTATTCTGCAGCGAGTGTGTAGGTGTGTGCTAAGAACCTGCTGAATTGCATTGTGTGTTAAGAGTTTCCTGTTTTCACTTAACAAAAAGTGCAGATTTCAGCAGAAATTGTCCCTTTTTTTAAATTAACCTTGTTACACCACCACTGGCTGTCAGACAGACCTGTTGGTTCATGGTTGCTCAGCAATTCCCCATAGATCCAGCCTTCCAAAGATTTTTAATTGAATTGCATTGGGAAATCTGATTGGCTAGTCACAGACAGACTGGGTGGGGTTAGAAGAAAGGGCTTAACAAGAGATCTGCAGCTTTTGCAAGCTGTATTTAGATTAAAAAAAAAAAAAAATTTAAATGCATGTATTCATTGGGCATATATTTACTAAACATTTTTGGGGGGAGAGCGGGTGGGGGATTTGGGTAGTGGTGTATCCCTTTACAGTCCATATCCTGGGTCAGTGATGCACTGTGGGTTCAGCCATCTTAAGCCTTTATGGTCGGATACACCACTTATCTAAGAGTGCACGATTTGAAGGTGAGAAGTTGCCTCAGAGGTTATGTTTGAGATGCCTTGTGCACATGACATCAGGATTTGTGAATGAACAGTACCACTTGGGTAACTCACATTTACAGTTGGCTAAACTGTGCTTCAAACAGGAGAAATATAGACATCCCCAACGAGCAAGGTTAAAGCAGGAATTGCAAACAAAAAAAATAAGGAGCTATTAACTCTTCTTCCTGACTGCAAGCTGAAATACTTAATGTTTAATACATGTCATACCTGAGATACCCCTTGGTTTTTGTATCCTCTTCCATAATAGCGGCCTCCCCTTCCGAAAGTTCTTATCACTGGTGTGGAGATCACTCCTCTGGGACGGCTGTGTTAGAAAACAATTCATGATAAAATTACAGGGGGGAAAAAAAACAAACAAAAAAACACAGCCACACCATTCACAAATACCTAAAGCAAGCACTTCTTTATTAAATGTGTCACACTGGGCGTCAGCGGGAGGCCGAGCTAAGAGCAACAAGCAACCAGAACTCAGAAGCAGGACCACGCCAGCGTTTTAATGCTTTAAGTGAAAATCGATTGCGAAATCCTCCAAGACTTTCAGTAAACTGCTTTTATGTTTTAATTTGGTAATAAATATATTTGATGCTGCACCATTAGGCTCTTTTGCTTCTAGTTTCTCCCTAGTCAAGATGCAAGCTTAAGATGTGTGTAGCAGTGGATTCTTTCCAGTGTGGAATATTTCCCTCTCCAGTGCAGTTCTTTATACCCAAAAGCAAGGGGTTGACAGGACTCTGGTGAATGTGAGTTGGCCCCCCAGATATAGGTTTCTTCATTACACTATTGTTTTATAGGGATATCAGATGGTCTGCACTATTTTGCATTTGTATTATTGTTTTCCGGTTTAATTTAAGATCATTGCATTAACTATTCCAAGCGCACCACTTTTTTGGTATTGATTGCAAAATGCATCCACCGCTCATTCAAATCTTTATCACTGAATGATCGGAGTGCTGAAGATAAACACATCATACAAGCAGGTAGCAGAACATGTAGCTTGAAAATCAAAGAGCCTCACAAAGCTTAGTTCTCAAAAGCATTTATATAGTGTGTCCCCAATATTTTAACACAAATGTTTTTATAGTATTCAAAACATACCCTCTGTTTGCACCGCCAACAGAAACAACCTGCAGGGGGAATGATCCCCTGCCACGTCCTCGTCTTGTCCCAGCCCATTGGCCGACCACAGTGCCCGCAATCTCTAGCTTCCCTCCATGAGAAGGAATAGGCTGAACTCCTACAAGAGAAGGGGTAAATAGTGGATACCAATCCAAGATAAACAGAGCAACACCATATTATTAAATACACATGTACCAGGAATAAACACGGGTGAGGTTACTGAAGGCATTTTAATGTCAAAAGTCACATCGTGGGAGGACTAGTCACAGCAACAAGACTCCAACTAGTTATACTGCATCAGCAAAGTCTCTCCCAACAACAAATATCAAGGCAGACACTGGTTTCAAATATTCAGATACACCATTTCTTTCTGTTTTTAACACTGCCTAAAACTTTTGCACAGTATCGTACACACAGCTCAAAAA